TGGCTGACCAACCACACTCAATGTGTAGTCCTCAGTGAAACTGCATCTTCATGGAGGGAAGTATGCAGTGGAGTACCCCAAGGCTCTGTTTTAGGCCCAATACTCTTCAATATCTTCATCAATGATTTGGAAGAGGGGATAAATGAGGAACTCATCAAATTTTCAGATGACACCAAACTGGCAGGAATAGCCAGAAGACAGGCTTAAGATACAGAAGGATCTTGACAAACCTGGGCATTATTTAACAGAATGAAATTAAATGGTGAAAAAAGTAAGGTTCTACATTTAGGCAAGAAAAACAAAATGCACAGGTACACTATATGTGGTACCTTGTGCAACTTAGAACTGAGGAGAAATTTCCAGACAGTTAGAACAATTAATCAGAGGAACAACTTGCCTCCAGAAGCTGTGAATGCTTCAACACTGGAAGTTTTTAAGAAGATGTTGGATAACCATTTGTCTGAAATGGTATAGGGTTTCCTGTCTAGGCAGGGGGTTGGACTAAAAGACTTTCAAGGTCCCTTCCATCTCTGTTATACTATTCTAATATGCCAAGTGGTTTTCTACTGCCTTTTCTCAAGAGCAGTTCAACTTTGCCATCTAACCGGCAGCTTGAAATTCCTTGATAGTCTCCCATTCAAGTTTTGACTAGGCCAATCCTGACCATTTTGTCTCGCTTGACAAAGAGGTATAGAATTAGCTATATTATACCAAGTTTTGTATTCTGTGATGTTATGGAAACAGCAAGGCAATTTTCCAAGTTCATTGGAAACAAAATGTATAATTATACACTTCATTTGAGGTTTGCTAAAGCCATTGAGTCTAATTATTAAAATCCAGTCTCTAAATTTATGTTCTTATCAAGCAGCTGTTTGACTGAAATAGAAACAGTGTAGGCTATGTAAGTCTACAGTCACATTAGCAATATTTAACATGACATTGTAAAATGAAAAGCTGATACCAAGTACGGATCACTACAATATATGTCAATTTTGCAGGCCTGCTACAGGAAATAGGAATAGTAATCTATTGGCTTTCTGCTTTTCTCGTTGCTTTTATTTTATTTGCCCTAATGGATGCCATATAGGTAAGCAATAGCATTTAGAGTTATATAGCTCTTTATAGTACTCTCTGGGCAGTTTCCAATGTAAGCATTATTTGCCCCATCAGGATTGACCTCCAGGCTGTGGGCAGAGTTTGCCTGCAATACCTTAACCACTGTGCCACCAGGGCTACAGGCAGTCCTCAATGTATGACCACAGTTAAGCCTGAAAACTTGGCAATAAGTCTTTGTGGTTGTAAGTCGAGTCACCATGGGGCTGAACTCAATTTTATGACTCTTTTTATGATGACTGTTAATCAAGTCACCATGGTCGTTAACAGAGGTGGGTTCCTATCAGTTCGCACCTATTCGGTTATAAGAGGTTCCACCAGTGGACCCGGAAAGCAGGCCACACCTACAGAAGAGGTTCCAAAAATTTTTGAAACTCACCACTGCCACACACACACACAGAGAGACAGACAGACAGACAGACTGACACAGGGAGAGAGAGAAAGAGAAAGAAAGAAAGGAAGAAAGAAGGAAAGAAAGAAAAAAGAAAGAAAGAAAAAGAGTGAGAGATGAAAGAAAAAAAGAAAAAAGGGACAGAGAGACAAAAGGAAGGAAAGAGAGAGAGAAAGAGAGAGAGAGAGAGAAAGAATGGCCGGCAAGCCACTCCCACCAGGTCACATGGCCGGCAAGCCACTCCCACAAAGGAGGCCACACCCAGAGAGTAGGTTCCAAAAATTTTTGAATCCCACCACTGGTCATTAACGAATCACATAATCAAATCCAGATAACCCAATGGGTGCTTTTTTCAGGAAAACAGGAAAAAATAAGAAAAATGTGATCATGTAACCGCAGACACCGCAAACGGTTGTAAATAGAAGCTGGTTGACAAATATCCAAAGTGTGATCCCGCGACAGCAAAGGGTTGTGTGACAGTCACAATTTTGGGTAATAAGTAACTTTTTCCAAAGCTATCGCAATTTTGGAGAGTAATTCAGCTACCAGTCATAAGATGAGAATTACCTGTATTTTATTTAAATTTCATCCTTCATTCCCTTACTTTATCTCTGCAGAACAAAATCTCAGAAGAAAAAATTTGAAGAGGAATTAAATGAAAGGATGATTCGAGCAATTGATGGAATAAATGCTCAAAAGTATGTTTGCCCACAAAGTTGTTGTTTGTACCCCCATTGTTCATATTATGGAAGTAAGCATTGAAGCCCCCTGAGAAATCTGAAGGCAGAATTTTCGGGAGTTGGAGGAGCCTATTTCAAAACAGGAATCTGACTGTTCCCTTTCATCCCAGATTATATGACAGTACAGAATAGAAAAATATAAGCTGTTCTATGACTTAACTGTCTGTTGGACAAGTAATCAATATTTTATTGATCTACTGGAGTTTAGCGACCAACATTTTATTCAAAATAGATGAGAAGAACTGAATATCTATTCTAATAACATTAGCTCTGAAACATGCACATAGTTATATTTACATTCCTCCCCTTTCTTTAGCAGGATTCTGGGGTACTTATTGTCACATAGAACTGTGGAGATACAGTACAAGATCTTATTTTGACTTACTTTGAAATTTACATGTAAAAATTAATTATTGTTTGTAAGTTAAATGCTTCTTATTACAATACACTACCCAGTCCTTGGTGGCAGTCTAAAACTGATACCAACTTTAGAAATCATCTGTACATTACATTTTTAGACTGAAGCCATTCTAGAAACCTGGACAATGTAGATTGGTGAAGATCTATGGTTCCTGTTCACTGGCTCATCTAAAAGAAAAGAAATAGCTATTGAACTTTAATATTTCTATTACATAAACACATCCAACTGTTTGATTTCCATTATGAACCAAGTTTGTTTTTTCTTATCTAAGTCTCCAGAAAAATATTAGCAGCTTACGTATAATGCTGTTATGGTTCTTTTTCTTTTCTAGGCAGTGGCTTAAATCTGAGGATATTCAAAGAATATCATTGCTTTTCTACAATAAAATCTTAGAAAAAGAAGTGAGTTATATTTAAATTATAAATTCTATTTTACATATATTTCCCAAATTCTCTAGTCAATAAGAAAAAAGAGGACGTAGCTTGTAGTTATTCATACCTGAAAATGTGTGACTTTTTTAAAGTTGTGGGAGATTAGATTCTTTTTTATATACATAGTTTCGCCTTTGATATAGAGGCATGAATTTGGGTTTGCACATGGGAAAAGAATTACAGAAAAAAACAGAACTCAAATAGGAAGAGGTGAAATTTTGGCTCTATTTCCTGGCTATCAGAAAATGTGGATTTCCTGCACACTCTTCTATTTAATATATCTATTATTTAAAAGATTTTTTTGGGGGGGGGGATCTAATTAATCAAAGTAAATGAAGATGAATGGTTTCAATGCTATAACAGCTTTTAGAGAAGTCCAATTGATCTAGGAAATCAGAGTATTTAGTATCATGTTGATTATTAATTGGTACTGACCTCTTTCAGAAATGAATTGAATGACATCAATGATTGAATGACAGCCACCTATGATATAGTTGTCCTCAGTCCTCATTAACTATTCATCTAAAGTATCTTGGTTTATTCAGGAATAGGAATAATCATCCCAGAGTTTAAAAATCAATTTGTGTTACTCATTTTCATGTGTGGGAGGTTAATAGATCCTATGAACCCATTAAACCTGCTTTTTTTCCTGTGAAAGATCAAGGTACAATTGATTGGAAAATTCCTGTACTGCAATCCAGGGCGGTATTTTTGCTGCTCTTATGCATTTCAATATGATTGTCTGTAGAAGTTGTTCCATAATTCAAATAGCACGTATTCTAAAATGGACAATTTATGAGAGCTTCATTTCTGTGGAGCATTTTTAAACTTTGTCAATATAGAAAATGTAATTAATAAAGAAGCTTTGTAATGCTTGTTGATGTTTTGAAAAAGACATGGTTGGCTCAGGTTCACCATACCAATGTGGCTTGTCATCAACCACAGTGAATTAATTGATAGAGGTCATCAAAGTCATGGAACTTGTTCAGGATTTGTTATGGATGGCTCTTCCCTCCTGGATTTCAGCAGTTAGAATTTTCAATTATGTGGCCTCTGGATATTGAAGTTTAATTTAACTATCATGGTTAAAAAAATGTTGGTCAGCCATCATCTTTTAATTCTTCCAATCTTTTTTGTTTAAAGCCATAAAGTTATCTAGGTAAAAAATACCCTCGTATCAGTAAATATTTTAAAATTCAATAGGTGTTATAACTTACGTGTAGTCATTTTTAACAAAGAAATATTTTTTTGTTATCTCTCATTTTCTTTTAGTATAGAGCAACAACTCTTCCTGCATTCAAGTACTATGTAACCTGTGCCTGTCTTATATTCTTCTGCATTTTTCTTGTGCAGATTCTAGTGCTACCAAAGTAAGTGAGTGACGTATACTGTTCTTTGCTTGTATCCGTGGAACCTCTTTTAGACTGAATTGGACCTGCCTATAATCCCATCATACTGGTGTTTTTTTAAACACTCTATGTCTAGTAAAATGGTTTACTTTATGTCTATTTTGTCGTTTCCACCACCACCTTCCTATGTTCTTCTTCTTTCTTTTCAGTTTGTCTTTCTTCAAAAGGAAAATGATGCAAGCCATTGTGACCATGACTTGATCACAATTAGATTTGGTGCAAGACTATCAGAGACATCCTGACCATTTACTCCCATGGATTGTTTTTTTTTTTCCAACAACCTCAGCAAAGATGTAGCACTTCCCTTTTTCCACTTCTGCTTGGTGGGCATGTGATACTATTAGTGATGGGTTTCAAAAATTGTTCGAACCTACTCCGTGGATGTGGCCTCCTTTGTGGGAGTGGCTTGACGCCCATGTGACCGGATAGGAGTGGCTTGCCGCCCATGTGACCGGATATGAAGATGCCAACGACA